CTGGCGTTATTGGACTGATTGGGACCGTTTAAAATCTTATTTAAGAAATGTTGATATTAATGACTTTGTGTTTACAATATGGAGGCTTCAGTGGTTTATATACGCAACTACTATTCCAGTTTTTGCTGAGTGCTGGTCAAGATTCAACGCAGGTCATGAAGTAAATAGTAATTATACACATGTAGTAATGTAATTAGGCATCGTTTAGTAACATCGACCTCGAAATGTTCGAAAGACAGTTTCTTGAAGTGTACAATATTTACGCCTAAATATTATTAACTGTTACATGGAGTACTACTTTGCCTTTTATATACCACCAGGACTCATTAGAATAAGGCTACCAATATCAAGACTTATGCTTTGCATATGGTTTCATAATGTTTTCTTGTCTATGGAAAATGTGGAACGGTGTTAATTCTGCAAATTCTTACGTGCTTTTGAGCACTCACGACAGATTTAGCATTCTTTTGGCTGAAGAGTTGAGCTTGTTTGAATCAAGTTATCATAAATATCTATGTGTAGTTCTATAGCTGTATCATTATAAGTTATGAAATAAACTATTGCAGTGCAATCGATTCACATCTTAGGAATTTATTATTGCTAAAGGTGTGCACAAATAATTCACTACATTTTAACGGTACAAAGTGGCTTCGTGTTATAAATCTAGCCCGAGACTCACGGTAATTTATATAAAGTTTGAAAGATATTCRTGWGCATTGTRAATATATCTACTTGGTTTTGTTTGGAAAAATGTGGAAGATAAGTAAAAACTTCAATTATGTTCAGAATCGAAGCTTCYGCAGCTGACTACAATGTTATTCTACCMGTATTCTAGAGCCCATGGTCGTTATAACGCAGCGGTTGCGCGCATGCTCATGCATAACGGCCTCTTGTTGTCTTTGATAGTCACATGACAGGCTGTAAACACAGAGTCTTTTATCTTCTCCAGCTTTCTCCGCTCTTCCATTCGTCGGCTTTTCCTCAGAAGAATCTGTTCGCATTCCTTAGACGAGACCTTAGTAGTTTCAGAGCCTGCATAAGTTCGTATACAGTTCGCTTGTGCTAAGATAGGTAGCTTGTTTGATAGACAATTCTCGATAGACTCGATCTCGATAGACAGTAAGATAAATTCTCGATAAATATACGTTATCTTCTGAAATTCCTTTTTCGGAAAAACGCTGGTCATATTTTAGTGTGGCTATGCCACGAAAGTGTGGATATTTTTAAGTGATTTGAGCGTATTTGTAGACGTTGAATTTCTGTCTTCTTCCACCTCGCGTACAGTCTCGCCGACTATTCTCATCGGTTTGCACATGAAGTCATCAGTCGAAAAAAATTCTAAAATCACAGACACACAACATTAAAGTACTAAAATACCTAGGCTCAGTCTCCAGCCGTCGGGATTTCGTGCGCCCGCGATACTCTCTCCCCTGACGGCTGGGCGCATGGGGTTCGAAACGTGTCGCGCATGTCCGTGACGTTTTTGTGTAATTAGCATATTATGAATAACGGAAGTGAATTTTTCAGTGAACGGAAGTGAAATATCTGACAACAGCCGTATTAAAAGGTTTTGCTACAAGACGGGAAATTATGTGAAATGAAAACTT